CTTCTTCCAATTGAAGGCTGTTTCATTTACACTGAAAATCCATTGTTTAGTGTAGCTACCTTCATCAATAGGTGGATCTTCTGAATAAACAAACGTGCCATAGCTTCTACATCAGCATTTGCTGTTTCACATTATACTTTTACATTATAGAGATAGACTCTTTCCTTAAACCTCTGCTAGCTGCAAGCTTTTCATCTACAACTTCCTCATCTCTCTCAGCATTCATAGAATTGAAGAGAGTCAGGGCTTTGCTTTGGATTAGCCTTTGGTTTAAGGGAGTGCCCATACAAGCTTTTTGTTTGTTTTTTGAGATGGAGTCTCATTCTGTTGCCTAGGCTGGAGTGCAGTGGTGCAATCTCAGTTCACTGCAACCTCTGCCTCCCAGGTTCAAGCAATTCTCCTGCCTCAGCCTCCCAGGTTCAAGCAATTCTCCTGCCTCAGCCTCCCAAGTAGCTGGGACCACTGGCACCCACCAGCAAGCCCAGTTAATTTTTGTATTTTTAGTAGAGATGGGGTTTCACCACATTGGCCAGGATGGTCTTGAACTCCTGACCTTGTGATCCAACTGCCTCAGCCTCCCAAAGTGCTGGGATTATAGCAAAAAGTTTTGCATGGATGTTTATACCAGTATTCTTTAAAAAAACAAAAAAAAAAAAAAAAAAAAAAAGGCGGGGGAACAACCTAAATGTCCATCAACTAATTAATGGATAAACAAAAATGTTGTATATTCATATGACACAATATTATTTAGCAATCAAAAGGAACCACGTATATGTGACAGCATGGATGAACCTTGAAAACATTATGCTGTGAAAGAAGCAAGTCACAGAAGACCACATAGAATATGATTTCATTAATATGACATGTCCAGATATGCAAATGTATAGAGACAAGTCAATTAATGGTTGCCTAGGGCTGGCAGTGTGGAGGGTGAGTGCTAACGGGTACAGGTTTCTCTTCGGGGTGATAAAAATATTCTAAAATTAATTGTGGTGATGGTGGCAACTTTGTGAATATACTAAAGACCACTGAACTATACACTTCAAGTAGGTATACTGTACAGTATTTGAGTAATCTCATAAAGCTATTACCAGAAAACAATAATAATAATAAAAAGGAAGTAGTGTCCACGGGCTTTGGTTGCTGATTGGCCAGGAGTGCTGGAAAGTCAAGAGTAAAAACTGGACTTTGACTCATCTCTCTCTAAACTGGGCTTGCGTGAAAGCCAGTTTGAGAGGTGAAAAGGAGCAATGAATCCAAGAGTGCTCCCGTTAGATGTCTTGTTGTAAAAGGAAAGAGAGAACCACAATGGTGGAAATAAGGGATGAGAAAGTCAGCTGAAAATCTGGACTATTCACAGGGCATTTTTTCAAATTAGGGGGGATCCTATACTTGATTGAAGTCCCCTGATTCCCAGACTGGGTCTCCAGAATGCTAAACACCTAAAAGGTGTTACCAGAAATCCATGAGCAATTTTCATATTCAGTTTGGGAGCTGTTGAATGATGATTCTGTCCTTGCTACTTGTGCCTCTGAGGGGCAGCTGCAAACAAAGTCTCCTTACTCAGGTGCACGTGCCAGCCTGGCTTGGGGGGAGGTGGCAGGACAGAGTCTCTGACTGTCTTAGTTGAATCCACAGGTATGATCTCAGAATTGAGCGTTTCAGGCACTGAAGCCATCATACGCATTCTTCCAGCAACTAAACGCAACTAGGCAAAACCATTTTTTTGGTCTTAAAAGTGCTGTGATATTTCTTCCTTGCTGAGCAGCTATGGGGCTAGGCACAGAAAAGGGACTTAGAGGTACACATAGATTGAATGTTCTGTTCCAACAAGCACACAGTCTAGAGAAGGCTTGTTGTCCACGTGATATGAATGAGCAGGAGCCACAGCAGAAAAACCTACTGGGATGTGACAAACCATTTCCTTTCTCTCAGTCAGCCACAGGCTCCTGCTGTTTTAACAAGTACTGAGGAAAATAACATTTTGATAACCTGCGGCTCTGCACTTGCTTTCAAGCTATGCCTCACTGATCTGATGAGGGATGTTCAAGGGACAATTCAATATCAAATCCACGTGGGGAAAATAGCCATAGAGATGATTTATTAACTTAAAATCTCATACGTACATAAACATTTGCCCACATTCAAAATACACTCTGAGCTGAGGATAAACTGTGAGCTAGAAGGAGTCCACCACAGCCTCCATCGCTCTTGGCAGACTTCATCCAGCTCTGCCCCATCAGGCCTCTCTCCTCCCCTGATTCTCTGGCCAGCAGTGCTTTATTATGAACTTGGTGCCAGAAGCAGGGCCAAGTGAAGAGTGGCTCTGAGGGAGGAGAAAGAGTCCTTCCCTCCCATGCCATTTGGGGTGCTCTAGAAAAGTCCCCATCATGGGGATCAGGTTTGGATAAACACAAGTGTGCCTCCGGGAAGGGGGACTGTCAGCAAAAGCTTTTCTGTGATTAACTTTGGTTCTCTAAGTCAAGCACTGTGGGCCTTACTTAGGGAGTTCAAAGGACATGCTGTGTCCTTTTCCATTTTGTAAACATTGATTGGTTTTTCTCTCACAGGAGGTGGGCAGCAGGGTGGGCATTGCCGTAGCACTATCCGCAGCACCCTCGGTATGTGTCCAGTCTTGCTTTGGGAAAGTGTCTAAAGGCTAGATGAGCAAATCCCAACCAGTCAAGGGCAGGAGACTTGACAGGGAGGAAAGGCAGATTCCTTTGTGCCAGCTCCTTTCTCTTGGGATAGTCTGCAATAGCTTGGAGGCTCTGCAACAACCCTTTCATTCATTTATATGTATATATTTCAAAGTATATCTAAACAGGTTAAAATGTTAACACGTACTGTTCAATTAATAATGAAGACATTAGATTACACAAAAATTTATAGCCTAGTGCCCTTGCACCAACACCAACAAAATGTCCACAAATGAAAAAAAGGCAACCGGTGATGGGTTTGGCATGTGAAAAATGTGTTGACTGATGCTCTGCTGAAAGTCCATCTTCGCTTTTCCAAATTGGCCATTCATGGAGAGGCAAAGCAGCAATTAAACTCTACTCTATGGCTGTGACCCCCAAAAGCCTTTAGTTTAGACTCTGTTTACGATTCTTCTGTGACCTTTTTTTTGATCCTCTGGCATCGTCTCACTCCAGAGAGTTTTCAGGACACTGGGGTCTGGAATGGGTGACTGTGGGCATGGTTAGTCTAAGGGAGTCAGGTGCACGTAAGCTGGTCATGACACAGGGGGCAGGGAAAAGCAAGTTCTGGCAACCTAAAAACAGCTGAGAGCTCAGTTTGCCATCCACCCATTTCTGCCATACCACAGAAAGCACCATACTCCAAAGGCTTTTTGGTATAGGATAAAACTGATTTAGTTACTCTCAGAAGTGAACTTTCAAGGAAATTTTCATCTGTAATGATCTTCCAGCTTTTTAAGGAAATGACTACAACTAGTTAGTCCTGACTTTCTATTTATTTCAGAAGAAAAATAGAATATTGGTGGGCTCCATTCTTTTATCTTCCAAAGAATAAAAATATCCAAGTGAAAGAAGGCTGGGTGGAGGCAACAGGGCCAGGCTCAGCCTGAAGAGACATGAGCTTCGGATCTATCTGGACAAGGAGGCTGCTCAACAAGGCTTTTCTAGATTGAAATAATTTAGTTTCAATTAAAACAATAATTCAGAGAAGCTATGCAGGCTCACTGCATGCAGGCTGCCCTGGCACACCCTCCCCTTGCTTTCAATGACTGGAGAGTTTTGAACTCTGGCTAAACCAGGGTCATCATCCCCATTAGCTCAAGAGGCTACTAGAGCCCACTGCAAGCTGAAGGACCCATCTCAAGAGCTCTGTGGGAGAAAAGACAGCAGAGAGGATGAGGTCTGCACTGCGTAACTTCCACAGGTTTTCTCTGGGTCAAAGCGAGTCCCAGTGAGAAAAAGCAGGGAGACCCTGCTTGGGTGGTGGAACATGCTCTGGGAAGTAGAGATGGTTCTTTGGGGCCATGAGCAGAGCACCTGCAAGGCCTGGTCAGCTCGTATTCTTTAATCCCCATGGAGGAAAAGGGAGGGCCAGGGGAAGCCCATCAGCTTGCTGCAACTAATGTCACTCTCTCTCTAGTGGCATTTTCCCCAGACATAACTTTGGGAAGTTCACAGGAGCGCATGTGATGGACGGTGAATAAACTGAATTCTTGGATCAATAAAAAATACCTAGAGATTGCTCTTATTCATTCTGGGATATCGGAAGGGTGGTCACCTGAACATTGGTAGGAAAAGTGCTTCAGGCTTGTGCCTCCACTGAATTTCCCCAGGGCAATCAGTCCCTGACATGGTTTCATGCTGCCTGCTCCCAAGGATTGGCTGGGTCTCACCCTCTAGCTCACTGAGCTCTTTGGTTATGGAATGAGCAGCCGCCAGGCTGATGGCTACTGAGACAGACTCACAGTTGGCCCTCAGTGTTGTTTGTGACGGCAAGGGCACCAACTCCAACTTCAGAATTAAAGGACCACTTACGGAGACATAGCTGTGAGAGAACAGGATGAGAAAGGTGAGAGGGTCTGCCTTTCTGAAACTGCTTATGTTTCAAAGAAGTTACTTTTAAATTAGAGGGATCTTTCAGTGGAAAGGTTTTTCTTGTCTATAAAAGTGAGCCAGCCTTTTCTAGCAGAAGTTTGAGAAGGATACACTCTTGAAATGAGGCTGAATATGCAATGGTTTCCACCACGCAGAAAGTATCCTATGTTAATTTTCTAATCTCTGTTTAGCATAAAAAAGACACCATCTTCCATTCCTATCCCCTTAGTGTGTTATCGAATGCCTGGTCTGCCTGAAAACACCCTGGGCTGTTAGAATGATTTCTATATTCAATACATAACAGGATACGAGTGATATAGGTCCTTGTGAAAGGAGAGACACAATTACTTTGCAATGAAATAATTTAAAATCCTAGATCAGTATGAGAGGACACCCACAAATTTCCTAGGAAAATTTTGCAGTATGTCAAATGAAAAATATATCTTCCAGAATTTGATTCTCCTCCAGCTCTTCAGGGGTCCTGTGCATCCCCATCTTCTTCCGGGTTGATTTTGGAGGACTGAGTCGGAAAGTACCATGATTCCAGGACCCAGCTTCTCTGGAGGGATAGCGCTGAGGTTTGGGAGCAGAGTTTGGGCTCAGAGACTGAACCAAATCCAACAAAGATGTCTCATACCTGTAAGACATACAACCCAGACAGGAAAGGATCAGATTATTAGAAAATGAGAATCCAAGAAGCCCAGCAGAAAGGGCTATCCAGGGCAAGAATCAGATCAAAGATAATATAGTGCATAAGATGCTGCTTAGGGGAACTTTTGTGAAGGTAAACATCAGAAGGACTTGAAGAACCGAGGCCTTGCTGCCTGTCCATAACCTCTTTTCTTTTGCTGACTTCTAATATTCCTTTATAACTTATGCAGAGAGCCTGTAGAGTGGGAAAAGTAATCATGATAACAGTGATGATATTAACAGTGACGTGTACTATAAGCTTACTGTCAGGCACTGTTCTTAACACTACAAATATTTAACCTATGAAGTAGGTACTGTACTACTCTGATCCCCATCATAAACAAGTGGAAATTAAGGCTCAGGGAAGTAACTCATCTAACAGAAAGCTATTACACAGAAGAGTCTAGAATTGAACCCACGTGGTTTGTCTCCAGCACTCTCATCCAGGACACTAAAGCTACCTGTCAAAATCTTCACAGACAGATAGACTTGGTTCAAATCTCTGTTCTACCATTTGCAAGTTGTGTAATACTGGGGAAGTTATTCAGTCTCTCAGTTCAGTCTTTTCATGTATAAGGGGCTAGCAAAACTCCAGTTAGGATTAAATTAATTAATTAATATAGATGAATACATAAAAGGCACTCACTAAATGGTAGTTCCTTCCTGCTAACCCCCTTCCACCTTCTCCAGAATTTGGTAAACAATTCTAAATCTATTAAGATATCCCTCCAAAGAAAGATTGCTTTGTGTCCAGCATTCTTATCAGAAAGGGTAAGTTTGGAGCAGCTTGGAGGTAAAGAAACAGTATGGGGCTTCCATGGTAGCTCATGCCTGAAATCCCAGCACTTTGGGAGGCCGAGATGGGTGGATCACTTGAGGTCAGGAGTTTGAGACTAGCCTTGCCAACATGGTGAAACTATGTCTCTACTAAAAATACAAAAATTAACCGGGCATGGTGGCATGTGTCTATAGTCTCTGCTACTCAGGAGGCTGAGGCAGGAGAATCACTTGAACCTGGGAAGTGGAGGCTGCAGTGAGCCAAGGTTGCACCACTGCACTCCAGCCTGGGCAACAGAGCAAAACAAACAAAAAGAAACAGTCTGAAGTAACACATAGGGCCCTAAGGGGATAGCTGGGGCCAGAACCTAGCTCCAAATTAATGGTGGTGATGATGGCAGCACCATCAGAAGCAGCCGTGGTGGAAGGCTGGCTTGTCTGTTTTCTAAGCCCATCCCTGTGGCAAAAATGTCATCTTTCTGGCCTGAGCACTGGGATATGAACTGCTAGCATTAAGGCTATAAATACCAGTAAATTATTACAAAATGAAAGCATACACGTGGACATTACAATAAAGCATATCAGAGATATATTAGAATCTTTCTAAGAGTTTAGAGTTTCTGGTTTTAAAAACTGCTCTAACACTGCAAAGCAAATATCCACAGGCTTAGAAATAAAAATTGAGGATTATTGCATTTGATAGGAAAAAAACCACCATTCTCATATGCAATTTCAAATGAACCAATTATTAACAAGAAATACAATTTTTAAAATTAATTTGTCTTTGTAATTAAAGATGTTGCTATAGAAAGCATAAACAGGCACTGTGAATTATAGACAAATCATTAAGTGATTTTTGGTTTCTCTATGATCTCCACATGTTACAGGACATGCTAGAGAAAACATTAAAATGACATTGTATAGATTTGTATTTAAAATTAAATTTCAACAGGTATGAAACTAATGTGTATGAAGAGTTTAATCTTTTTAGAAAGACGATACCCAAGAATGATCACCTCTACATAAACTAAAATTCACATTTGGAAATACTTTGATAGAAATCTATCCAAATGTTGGTACAGCCTACAAAATACTCTTAGCAGCTCCAGTGTCAGTTGCATCTACAGAAAGATCTTTCTCAAAATTAAAAATGATGAAAAACATCTCACGTGAGTTAGAATGGTGATCATTAAAAAATCTGGAGACAACAGATGCTGGAGAGGACGTGGAGAAATAGGAATGCTTTTATACTGTTGGTGGGAGTGTAAATTAGTTCAACCACTGTGGAAGACAGCGTGGTGATTCCTCAAGGATCTAGAACTAGAAATACCATTTGACCCAGCAATCCCATTACTGGGCATATACCTAAAGAATTATAAATTGTTCTATTATAAAGATACATACACACGTATGTTCACTGCGGCACTGTTTACAACAGCAAAGACTTGGAACCAACCCAAATGACCATCAAAGATAGACTGGACAAGGAAAATGTGGCACATATATACCATGAATACTATACAGCCATATAAAAGGATGAGTTCAAGTCCTATGTAGGGACATGGATCAGGCTGGAAGCCATCATTCTCAGCAAACTGACACAAGAACAGAAAACCAAACACCGCATGTTCTCACTCATAAGTGGGTGCTGAGCAATGGGAATACAAGGACACAGGGAGGGGAACATCACACACTGGGGCCTGTTGGGGGGTGGGAGGAATAAGGGAGGGATAGCAGGGGGTGGGGGGATTAGAGAGGGATAACATTAGGAGAAACACCTAATGCAGGTGATGGGGGGATGGATGCAGCAAACCATTATGGCACGTGTATACCTACGTAACAATCCTGCACGAGCTGCACATGTACCCCATAACTTAAGTATAACTTAAAAAAATTACAAAAAATGTTTGTAATCTCATTTGCTAAGAGTGACTAATGTTGCTTTTAATTATATCACTTAAAGTTTTTAAAAGCATAAATTATGACGACTTAATAAATGAATTTAGACCGAGCACAGTGGCTCCTGTAGTGTTTACAGTGGCTCAAAGTGTTGTAATCCTAGCACTTTGGGAGGTCAAGGCAGGTGGATCACTTGAGGTCAAGAGTTCGAGACCAGACTGGCCAAGATGGTGAAAAACTCCATCTCTACAAAAATACAAAAATTAGCTGGGTGTGGTGGCTTGTGTCTGTAATCCCAGCTACTTGGGAGGCTGAAGCAGGAGAATGTTTGAACCTAGGAGGCGGAGGTTGTAGTGAGCCAAGACTGTGCCACTGCACTTCAGCCTGGACGAAAGAGCAAAGCTCCATTAAAAAATAAATGAATAAATAAATAAAATAAATGAATTTGAAGAAAAGTGAGTCAGGAAAACTTAAGGTTAATCAAGTTATCACATTAATAAAGTATCATTTTATCATATAAAATTATAATACCAAATATATAATTTTTTTCTATCTGTAGTTTTTATCGCTCATATATTACTATTACCCTTCATGCTTTATTGGTGTCCTTTTAAAGGAAAGAGCTTTGTATTCTAGCACCTTTAATTGGGCTTTTTCTTTCTTTCTGAACAAAGCGCCTCACATTTTCATTTTCCACTGGTCTGGCAAGTTATGTTGCTGTCCCTGCCCTCAAGTCCCAGGCAAGATTCGACTACCGTCTCAGGTATGGAAATGTCATGATATTTTCTGTGGTATGAAAATCTGTAAATTTAAATCCTTTTTAGCAGATTTTTCTTTTGCAGCTTTTATTGTCACAGAATCAAGGCAATATTTCAATGCAGCTATCTGTCATTCAAAACAATGGTTTCTGTGTTCAATCAACACATTCTTTGTTTAAGGTGTAAACCAATGACTTGAGTACTGCTTTTAGGAAATTTTGCATATAAGCAGGACAGACCTACTTCATGCTCAAGGAATAAGCTGTATTTGAACTTTCCTTTGAAACACATGATAATGTTGTGGTAATATCCATCTCTTCATATATCCATCTCTTCAGATCATTAAGTATTTTTTAAAATCAGAAACAATGGAAAATCTATACTTTTCTATCTAGTTTCATGCTTACAATAGCGAGAGGGGATACTCTGAATGAGAAAATAAATTTGCTGCTTTCTCTATTAAAAAGTAGAGCCAAAATAATTGGAGAACAGAAAGTATATCAGAAATAAACCTTTTAAAGGTGTAAACTGAAATCCAGAGCAACAATAAGGATTTGTGTTTAAAGACTGATTTACTAGGTACCAACATATTCAATCATTTGAAAGAGAACTGTGGGCTTCAAATTCCTTCAGAGTACTCATTAGCATAAAATATAGTAAAAAATTTTGTAGCATGGAAATAATGACCTACCAAACTATAGTAAGTTAGATCTGACATGTTAGTCAGGATAAGTTATGTGATAACAAATTACCTTCAGAATTCCAATGCTTTAATACAACTCAAATATTTTTCATGCTCATCCTATACACTCAAAGTAGGTCCAGGCAGACAGTGGTTCCATCCCCTAGAATGTGGGCTTCTCAGTTGTCTTGGCAGGAAAAGAGTCTGAAGAACTGTGCACAGGCTTTCCACAGCCTGCAAGTGACGTAACACTTCTCCTTATATCTGGCTGGCCAGAACCAGTTAAGTCTTGCCAGAAGGGAGGAGAACTGGATACTGGCAAACACTACTAATGCCTACCCATGGAGAAATGAGTCTTAGACATAATTTGGAATAATTTTCTTATTTTATTGATGAGGAAACTGAGATCCAGAGAGGTATAAGTGAACTGAATGCAGTCATAGAGCAAGTGAGTGGCAGAACTAAGTGGTTTTTAACCCAGGCCCCTTGACTTCCCAGATTAGTATGTTTTCAATCTTTCCATCAAGGTAAGAGGTGACACTAAAACAAAAGCAAAAGAAGGCTGCTGTTTCCAACTACATTTTATTTTAAAAGCATAGTACAATTACTGTAACTGGGCTATCTTTTCCTCCAACAAATTAGTCTACTCAAGTACAAATGCTTATCTTTATGATTATGCTGTTACAAAAATTCCACTTCTCTGTCTAGGAGCCACATTCAATCATAGACTAGACTATGGCAGAAGAATCAGAAAGTGTGTGGTCAACAGGGCTCAGATTTTGGTTGTACTTCATAGCGAATTTTCTTCAATAAGTTTATTGACAGTACTTT